CAATGTTTGTTATAAAAGTTTGACAGATAAAATGAGGGGTTATTGGTTTTTCCTATGTTTCGAGGGGTGAATCATTTAGCTTGGGACCGAAGAGAGTACCAGAGCTGTGCCAAAAAGTTGAGCACGTTTCTGCGGGACCTTCTACACGGAAAAACGAGTCTATGCATTAATGACTTTTTTTTAACCACTTTTAGAAGTTGTTCGAGCTGTCATAAAGTGGTTAAAATCTATAGCAGGAAAGTGTATACAATTTAGACATTTTCTGAGAAAACCATTATTCAACAGGTGTCTTAATTTTATTCACTAGTGGCTGAAAAAAACACTTGTCAATTTATTTTCTGCAAGCATGGCGGCTATCATTGACAAACTTCGTCACAGGTTAGTTCAATGGTAAAATACATGTATAGTAATTATAGACAAATAATGTTAATAAACAATTTAGAATTATAATTTTCTTTCTATTTACAGCATTTTCATGGTGCGGTAGCCCACCAACAACAATTATAAACGTAAGCATTTCCCTTTTGTTTTGTATTTTACTATGTAGATAATGAAAATGTCGCAATCAGCAGTTCACCAGTTCCTTACGGACAAGTGCAGGTCGTGCCGGTGATTGACACCAAGAACTACATCGAGTACACGAAGAATACGAAGTTTATCGGTTGGTTCCGGAGATGCTCCGCTGTCAATCAATCGACTTGTTGGACCGGAAGATGATGGCGAAAAGTAAGATGGTAGGTATATCTATAGATTGTTCAAGTCCTGTAAATAATCCAACCTCTTCCACAGCAGCCCGCAGACGCCTCCGGAATCACACAACCAACGAGATACATCCTCATCGCAATCGATGAATCAGCTCTTACAACACAGGTTAACAGCAATCCGACGTGACCAACATCCGATATGGCTAACATCCTGTCGGCATTCATCAACAATCTTGCCCAGCGCTTGTCAATGAAATCGGATGTAATATTTATTAATTTTTTTTTTTTTTATTTTTTCTTAGTTTAAGATATTGAAAATAAAAGAAAAACACACAAAACATAAGTGGTATAAGTACTAACCACTTTCGAGAAAAACGTCTTTATTCATTAATGATTAAAATATAACCATTACCAAGAAAAACGCGTTTATTCATCCGATGAGTAAACAGCGTTTATTCATTTTATGAATATGTGCGGGTTTTCTCGAAACTGTTTAAAATTTAAACATTATTGCATACTTTTTTCTTAGCGTGTAGTCTTAGAGTTACCTCTATGGTATTGGTTTGTTTACAATCTTTTGCTGCCAGCTGCTCTAACAATTTCAGTTGAAAGAATTGTCAAAAACTGTTTTGAAACGATTTTACAAAGCTCCAATCTTCTCTAGTGAGAGCGAGTATTATCGGCAACCAGTTTTTCTTCGGCAACCGTTCCATTTGAACTGCATGTAAATCTGCTGTTCTATTATCGGCAACTCGAAATCAGCTACAATTTGTAGTGCGTGTGTTTCATTTCAAGAAAGCCTTGCTAGATTGCTTTTTCACAGTGGTAAAATATAGTCAAATTGAAGCTGAAAGCATAAAGAATCGTTTGAATGAATTCAGCGAAGTGTTTTCGTAAGAAAATCCAGTGAAAATAGTGTTTCAATTTGGGTTGCCGAAAATAGTCTGGCATGCCGAAGCCGTCATTTCCCCTATATCAATGAAATTAGTCATGACAGAGTAACAGATGGGGAAGGACAATAAACACAAGTTGACACAATAAACAAGACAAGTGGGGGTTAATACACAAGACAAAATGACAAAATAAGTGACGACAGAAGACAAGACTGGGACAAAATCAACCTTAAAAAAAAAGAATGCGCAATTATATTATCAAAACTAGAGTCGGTGTATAATGAGTCACGCCAAGAGAAAAACAGTTGAACTCGCATCACGGTTTTCGAAAGATTCCCTTTCTTTTCACTTGGCAACAGAGGACTTCTGCATCAACTTCAAATGACTTCTAGCGAGGAAAAAAAGTAACGGCTGTAGTAAATAAATAAATTAGTGATTTTGTCAATTTATCTTAACGAAAAATAGTAGAAATTCTCACTAATGACCATTACAAAACGTATCGCATGACAAATGTAATGCTCACTGCGTGTTTATGATCATTTGTTCGATTATATTTACATTTAATTGCAATACCTTTCGTGGACCTTTCATAGCATCGTAATGCTTGTTTACTTTGCACGATAGGTAGCCGGTTTGACAGTTCAATAGGTAGACTTGACTTCACTCTTGGCGTGACTCATTATACACCGACTCTAATCAAAACTATTTGGATCATCACAAAAACAACAGTGACCAAACGGGCACCATAGCCTAGGAACGTCTGTGTGTTGATTTAAAATAGAGGCTCATAGAAGCAAAATTTATCAATAAAAGGGGTCCAGTGTAGAGTTTAAGCAAGTGCTGCCACTGGATCACTAAAAAAAAAAAAAAAAAAACTTTATGTGGTATGGTCGTACCATCTATGATATTGTTAGTGTATGGTACCCGTTTATTAGGGATTTTACGTTGAGTCCTGGAAGAAACCTGAAACACTCAGGTAAATATATGAAGTCAAATGAGGAGGCACCCTGATACCGCATTAATAAAAGTTGGTTCTATTGCTTCTAGAATTTAAAGTAAGCAAGTAGAACACATTCAAAAGCTTTTGAATCTCAAAAATGTTTATTCCACAATGGATTTGAAGAAAAAAACGTAACAGAATTTCAAAATCATCAGGATCTCGGTTCTAGATATTTTTTCCCCGGAACCTGAACTAATAGCACCAACAAACTGACATGGCACTCAGTTTCCAATGTCGGCAAAAGTCGTGTACAGCTGGATTGCAACCGCTTCTGTGGTGCTAATAGAATAGAATTTTTAGGAAATAGAACTTGCAAAGTTTTAAAAAATTCTGAACTTAGAGCAGAATTTAAAATCTTGACTGTAAACAAAGATCATCAAATAAGGAAAAAAAATCCATACGATCTCAGATAAAGAATAAATTTAAAGATCCTGAACCGTGTTCTGAACAAAGAATGTTGGTAATGATCTTGTATTTGAAAAAAATATATACAGGGTGCGTGACGAATTTTTGCAGTAAATGGCATATTTGAGAAAAAATACACCAGTTAGTTATTCTAGCAATGAATTTTGTGCGATTTATTTTCTTTCGCAACATATGGAAGTTGTAAGTAAATTTATTCAAAAAAATTGCCTTCCCTTTCGACGACTGTAGTTAGACGCTTCCGGAAACTGCAGTATGCACGTTTTAAAATGTTTCGATCCATAGATGTCATCACTGCCTTGATTTTAGCTTTTAGCGACTTAAGTGTGGTGTGAGGGGTTCTATTGGTATAACGTTGGACGACGCCCTATACAAAATAATCCAACGGATTGATATCGGGACTGCTTGGGGGCCAAATTTCTTCCTCCCAAATTTACGAAATATTTTCCGTAAGCCATTTCTGTGCTTTATTAGCAGTATGAGCAGGTGCTCCGTCTTATCACTTTCCCAAGCCTTTTTTAATATTATACACTGTTCTTTCAGACACATTTACCGACCGAATTATTTCTTTCATGCATACTCCGGCGCGCAACAAAGCGACAACGGCTGACAGATTGCTCTCTTGTTTCGACATCTTTACGTTTACTCAACATTGTTTGTTTAAATCTTACACCTAACAGTATAAGCTATCCAGTGCTGCCAAATATATCTAAATCAAGATGCACAAGCATGAGAAATTACTATTTGAAATTTACTGCAAAAATTCGTCACGCACCCTGTACTCTACCTATATTTTTTTTTTAAATAAGTTTTTGAAAATCTCTGAACTTAGATTTTACATATTGGAGATTTTTTCTAAGAACTTAGGCAACCATTTATGATTCTTAATTTTTTTTTTTGTGGAATCTCGGAATCGAAAAAAAACTCAAACTATTTAGAAACATAACATAACTAGGTACATGACAATTTACACAAAATCGGGTGGTCTACTAGCACCGTCACTTATAACGGAATGTTACAATAGGGTAAATATTATTAATAGGGTCTATTACAATTGGGTAAATCATGCGGAGATCTCCCATACCACAATGTGAACACATGGCCGTAACAGGAACACTCACCCTATCGACTGGCATGACAAAGCAGACCAGTAGACGTACATCGAAACAAATCGAACATCGTAGTCACGATTAATGGGTGCTAGTATGTATAACAATAACACCAAAAGCATCCAAACGATCCGAACGAAAAGAGTTTCAGTGTGAGTAGTTGAAGTCATTCACTTTTGCCATCCTCCGTGCTCGGTTCGTGTGTAGTTGTAGGTAGGTCTGCTAGTGTAAAATTTGCTTGTTTTCAACGCCTACTTCTTCGGTGTCGGTATAGTCTCTTATCAAGCAAGAAAGCTTATCAACTTTGAGTTTGGTTTGTTTTTGCAAACTATACTGTCGCTGTCCTCTATCGCTTCCAATATGTTGAAGTAGACAAAGCGAATCCGTCGAAGACCGAACCATTTTGTGTCTGGCAGTGCTGTATTTGTTATTAACATTCAACTGGTGCCACAGGCAGCCATCGTTCGTACCTCTGGTGACACCTTAAACTAGATAGGATTACATAAAAACATAAAGAGCATCATCTTCCGACCGCAATCGGTACGTGCCTGTGTCTTGAAGGTTGAACGAGTGAAAGTGATTGAGTCATTTTCTCCTTTATGCTATCGAATATTGTTATGTTTAATTTGAGTTGATAAGTTGAGTGGAATTTTTTTTTAGAAGAATTTTGTTTAATTTAAAATAGCGAAAGTAGTCGAAAGAAGAGGTCCTAAAAATAAGACTGCATTTCGATGTTGGTGGTAGGGTTCCGTACTCTACCTGCGTATTATTATCATCACTGTTTGCACTGCTTGTCAAAACAAAGTAATCATAGTTTTCGTCTGCTTGACTTATTTTCTAAACTATGGTATAGATGTCCATTCTTACTATCGGATGATGCGTTAAAAGGCAACGGAGATATATCACTTCGATCCAGTAGTGCGCGGTGATCCGAAGCCATAGCAACAAATCTTCAACAGCTGCTGCTGCTGTCCAGAGCCTGTGTGTGTGTGACGAAAGAAAAAAGTGGTGCACAGAATGCTGGTATCCCGCAGCAGCAGTCGCCTGCTGTTAGTGCTAATTGTAGCTTCATTGTACGTCTCCCATGTGCAATCGCAGCAGGGGGTCCCGACCGAAGAGGGGAAACTTCTCTTCGCACATGTGGTAAGTGATTCGATTGATGTGACATTTCGTGTCCGGGAAAGTTGGTGATAGCCAATCCGTACATTCTAGATCTACCGGCATGGCGATCGGACCCCGATCGAACCCTACCCCAACGATCCATGGAAGGACCCCAGCCACTGGACTACTGGATGGGGACAGCTCACCAACGTAAGTACTGCGCGCCAACCAGCCAATGTGTATTAATTATGTCGGTTAGTGCCCTCCGCGTATTAGGAAGCGTATTGAGCGTAGACAGCTACTAATCACAACCGGCGAACTGACCTAGACAATGAAACTCTATCATTTCCACGCGCCTAGCGTAATACAAGCTATTAGAAGCATGCACACGCTTCATTGCATAGCACGAATCACTGCACAGCAGAGAACGCGCAGTTAGAACAGCTGTTCTGGCTTGATCTCCCTCTGACTTCGGTGATAGGTAGCTACTTAGCATCACCTAACGTGCGCAGTAGGGGTGGCAACCAACTTCCAAACAAGCACCGTCAGTCTTATTGTTCTGTTGAGTGCTGCTTTTGAGACACCTTAAATGGACAAAAGGGACCGTTATTTTTAAGCTATCTACAGCATGTTTGTTACCCCCCCCCCCTCTACTGAGCACGCTAGCGCTTAGCGTCGATCTGAAATAGGAGCCCTAGTGCGGGACGTAAATTAAACACGTTAGCACGTTAGGTAAGAACTTGTGTAGATCAATGGATGCATTAATGCAAGGTTGTCGTTAGTCAGAGTTTCTGTATCCCTCTATCCAACGCAAATATTACAAATGAACAAATTTTAATAAGTTTTCATAGATCGTACAAACAAATCTTGAATTGAATGTTATTCGGAAATTACTACTGTAGCTTTACTTTAATTCTTGGACTCGAGCATAATTCAATCGTTTCCAAAAGTCATGGCCGTAAGCTGAGTGGATGCGTCTTCTACAACTACCAAAAACCAACGTTTGCGAGGTTTCTTTGTGGTGGTCGACGAGCTCGTCCAGGTTCTCTGCTGAATGTTTGTTTTCGCGTGTTGCTCTTCCGGCATCCGTGTTGCAAGCTCAGCATCCATAGTCTGCCGTTTCTGATTAGCTTCACAATGTCCATTGCGTTGTATACCAGATACAACTAACGAGATTCATGCGATGCCGCCAGACGTCACAGGGCTGGTAATGGATATTTGAATAGTAGCGACATTAGTGACATAAGTGACTAACATAACGAAAATAATGACCAAACAGTTAAGTGACTTTGAAAACCTATGGATCCAACCTTTCGTTGATTGCGACCCACATTGAGAAATATTATAAACTTACAACCCACCATGAGCATTTTTCAAGCTTCTTTAAAATAAAACAAATAATGTTTGAAGGATCTCATAAATTTGTAATTCTTCTTCTTCTTTCTTTTGCTTTATTATAGAGACTTTCAGTCTTTAGATGGTTCGTCTCTTTGAAGGGAAGGGACTCCTGAGGGGGTCCCGGAGAGAAAAAATAAATAATTTCATAGCGTTTGTTACAGAGTTTAAGGATCTCAGAGTTCTGAGTCGATTGTTGTAACAGTAAGGAAGGTGAACGAAGTTGTGGTTAATTTCCGAGAGAGAGAGAGTTAATGTCCGTAGCCTGCGGGGTTGTCGTCGTTGTTCTTCCGTTTGTCGTGTCATTGTTCGTTGCGGGGTTCTACGTAGATTGATAATAGCCGGTGTCTTTAAGGAAGTCGAGAAGTGATCTTTCCCTGTCTGGGTCATTGGATAATGCATCTCTGATGCTGAGACCGATACCGTTTTGATCTCGAAGGTTTTGATGTGCAGGATAATTTATTATGAGATGCTTAACTGACAATATGGTTGAGCACCCCTCACATTGTTTGTGGAATCCATCACGGGATCCGATATCGTGTGAGAATCTGGTGTAGCCGCAGCGTAATCTGGACGGTACTCTCTGGTCCTCTGGTTCCTCGTCTCGGGTATTAGCCCATTCCTTGTCCCATGCCGAAGCGATGATCGTTTTGATCCAGATTTTTAAATCAGCTGCAGATACTTCCGGTTCCGCTGGGGCTTTCGATCTGCCGATCGCTGCCAGCTTATCCGCAGCCTCGTTTCCACTGATATCGCAGTGACTGGGAACCCAGACATATACGGTGTTACTGTTCGAAACCATTCTAATTGCTTGCACCAACGGGTGTCGATTCTTCGGGCCGAATCGATAATGATGGCCTTCCAGGAAAAACTGGACTCCGTAACGGCTGAGTAGATGGCAGCTGCCTCAGCCGAGAAGATCGATCGTAGGCTTAGGAAAGCCTCTGCTGGTATCTAGGTTGGGGCCGATCGGAAAGACTTACGCAATCCCAGCATTATCATCGGTAATTGATCACACCAGTGCTTCGAATCAACAGCCATTATTGCAGCCTTCAAGGTTCGATGAAATCGCTCCACCATTTGACAGTGGGTGGTATGCCGTTGTTCGGATGTGTTTGGAAGCCATCGCTTTAGCCAATTCACGAAACAGCTCAGATTCGAATTGCCTTCCTTGATCCGTGGTTACTGTTTCTGGTACGCCGAAACGAGAAATCCAGATAACGCACATATCCCGAGCGACAGTCTCAGCAGTCATGTCTTGAAGTGGTACGGCTTCAGGCCATCGATAAAAACGGTCGATGATTGTTAGTAGACATCTTCATCTCTGTCCGCTCTCGGCAAAACGTTGAATATTTCACCTGAGCCGGCGAGAACTTTTCCGAATAGAAGCCCAGTGGAACCCAGTCGCTGCCGTTGAACTGCTGTAGCACAGTGCCTGCTACAGTATTTGATGCATCGATAAGTAAACTCAACGGTTTCGAGGAATCGGGGTAATGCAAAAGTGCAGTTTTCGCTAGAGAGATTTTGCATTGATCGAACGCTTTTCTGGCATTATCGGACCAAGCTATTTTCCGACAATCGTTCTTTTTATTTCCAGGAATTAGGTTTCGGAGATCAGCCTGTAGATCAGACGCGTGCGCGACAAACCTCTTGTAACAGTTCAGTAATGCAAGGAATCGTCTCAATTCTTTCACGGTGGAAGGGATTGGAAAGTCTGTAACTGTCTTGACTCTATCCGGCAAGGGGAGGATTCCATCCTTGTTCACCACGTATCCAAGAAAGTTGACACTTTTGGCCACGTTTATAACAAGACCGTAGGATTTTAATCGTTGAAATACGACCCGCACATGATTATAATGCTCTTCGGGTGTGTGTGACGCGATACAAATGTCGTCCACAAAGCCACCACAAAATCCATATCGCTGAAAACCCTGTGCATGAACCTCTGGATTGTTTGGCTAGCCCAAACTTCAGTCTTGGGTATGTCGTCCTCCTCCACAGGAATTTGATGATATGCTCTTTCCAAATCCAGGGTTGTGAATATGTTTTTTTTTCCCTGGAAGGCGTTAAGCAAGTCGTGAATATGAGGCACAGTCACTTTATTTAGCGCTCGATAATCTCCCACAGACCTCAATTCACCGGTCTATTTCGGAACGCAGTGAAGTGGGTTCGACCAACAACTGCTGGAGGGACGACAAATGCCGAGATCGATCATAACCTGAAACTCTTTCTTGGCAGCACTCACCTTGTCCGGAGCCATTCGACGACACTTGTTTGCGACCGGTGGCCCTTTCGTCTGTATGTGAGATTCTAGTTTTTTGGATTGTACTTACATGGCTCACGGCATTTCAAAGCACGCCCCCCAAACTTCCGGTGGAACCAGCATATTTCGTCGTCTGTCACTCGGCTTGATCTCGATGTGGATCGACTTCTGGAAGCACCTCTCGAGGATTTGAGGTTACGTATTTCTGCTGTCAATGCCGCAATTTGGCTTTGAAGCTCGGCGACAGCATTTGCTCCGAAGGAGCTGGTGGAGGCTGCGGCGACGGGTGACGATGGAGACTCAAGCATTTTGTCTGCCATCTCGGCGAGTTTCCCGATGATACCAACACTGATAGCGAGAACGGCTTTGAAACTCGGTGGCATCCGCTGGAGGAACAGTATTTTCAGCAAATCATCCGTAACATTCAGGCCCGCAGCAAGTTCCGGCATTTTCGCCAGAAGATGTGTAGGACGCATGTCTCCGAGGTCGCAAGCGCCCAAAAGTCGCTCCAATCTTCCTTGCGCTGACACTTGGAATCGGGAAATCAAACGCTGCTTGATGCTTTCGTATTTGTTTTCCTCCTGCGGGGTTGTGACCAAGTCCGCTACATGGCATATGACAGACTGGTCAATGTTCGCGACGATATGATAGAACTTGGTGTGATCCCGTACCACGTTAGCCAGAGCAAACTGTGCTTCGGCCTGCGCGAACCACATCACGGGATCATTCTTCCAGAAATCTGAAAGTTTTACTGCAACTCCAGCGGTAACAGCAGCGTTTTCCTCCGTCATTTTCGAATCTGCGATGATAGCGATCGGCTTTCGGGTTTCGTTGTTTTCCGCGTCGCGATATCACGTCGGGGTCACCAATGCGGGGTCCGGAAGCAGAATTCCGCGATAGAATAAATCGAAAACGTTTGTGACTTTACAACGTGTTTATTTCTCCCTTGTCCCAAATTTACTAACTAAAATCAACATGGTCGCTTTTGATGCAGGGGTGAATCCAGGTGCGCGCTGTTGTCCAGTATTGGCAGTGCACACCACAAGCTCATTGAAGTTTAGTGGGGCTTCAGGTTTTCTTTGGTTGGTTTATTTAATCTTATGTGGAGAGTAGTCCTTCGCTTCGAAAACTTGAAGGATCTTGTTTGCCTCTTTGAGGAGCAACACTCCCTCGTCATCACCGGTTGTCTTCTCTGGTGGCTTTGGAACATACGGCTTTTGCGGTTATGTATCGGAAGGGGAGGATTCCAGCCTCGACGGAGGATGCATCGGTTGAAAGTTGGTGCGAGTTTATCGGTTACATTATCGAAATTTCTACACAGTAGCTCGGCGCCGTAGAGCAGTTCGCTACAAATGATTGCCTTCGCGATACGCAGCCCAACGTCACGGTTGTACCAACAGTTGTACGGTCGCAGTGAAACTGAAAACTCAGGTGACGGTCTAGATATACTCCGAGAACGCAAATCGTGGCCTCGAAAGGTATTTCTTCTCCGTCGATTTTGGGGGGATTCTTTTTCGCGTGGTGTTTTCCTACACAGCAAAAAAAATGTAATATCGATCAACGTAATTCAAGCTGATGTATGAAATAATTATGTAATAGCAAAAAGCAGATACAATATTACATCAATCGATGTAATTTTGTTCGCAGAATCGATGTACATCGTACAATGTGATATTACGCAACCGATGGATTGACCTGGTTGCAGCAGTTTCGATGTAATATTCAACAACTTTTTTTGCTGTGTAAGCATAGGTGGGAGAGTTGACTCTTGGATGGCGCCCTAGCATGCACTGCTTAGATAACGCTTTGGAGTTTCCTGCGGATCAGGGTGGGTCTCTATCAGGGTTGTGGGTACCTGTTGGTGGAAACTAACGATTTAAAAATGGCTCACTACTTGACTAGCCTATTGGTCCCAAGCAAATCGTTTAACGTACCCCATTCTAGTCGAAATTCTAGTACTACACTTGTCTGTTTTGATTCGCTATGAAAGTTTGACAGATAAAATGAGGGGTTCGTGGATTTTCCTATGTTTCGAGGGGTGCAGAGCTGAGCCAAAAAGTTGAGCACGTTTCTTCGGGTCTTAGAGTTACCTCTATGAAGTATAGCCGCTATATTCATAGTCTGGCGGATAGAATCTCGGGAACCAATTGAGCTGTCAAATAGCGGAACTAATCGAGCAAATCACGACCAACAACAGAAAAGAAGAAACCAAAGTATTTTTATTGCCATTCGATAATATAAGAAGATGAGACTCGGGTCAATTTGTATGGCATTTATTTCAATTCACCACGAAAATCATAAATTAGCTCTTTTCATATGGCATTCTTGCCTGTTGTGTGGCATCCACACGTGGTGAAACAAAATGTTGGTTTCATACAGAAATACCGTTGCGGAGGTGAAGGAAAATGCCTTTGTTTACGTCGTGTGGCGACATCTACTATTTGCAAGTGGGTACGTGAAACTAATACCATGGACAGACTATGGCTTACATCATGTAATATAGGCTGTCTTGCAATGAACACTCATACATTGGATTTCCAGTGAAAACTAGATGTATGAGTGCTCATTGCAAGACAGCCTATATTACATGATATAAGCCATAGTCTGTCCAGGGTATAAGGTTATCTGTCACCTTGCCGGGGACTTGGTTATAACCTAAGAGGAAGAGGTGACAATTGGCTTCTTCCTCTTTTATTTCTATCTCTATCTCTATCTTTATCTATCTCTATCTCTATCGTACGCACATGAAATCGGCCAATCAGGAGCTGGTTCACGTTTGACAAAAAAGTGGTTCATTTTCGCCCCCGTATTGTCATCTCTTCTCTTAGGTTATAACCACCGACACACCGACACGAATGACCATAGAAATTACCACGAAATTTCTGCTCAAAGTACACTACCGACATCTGTCTCCGTGTTCGCGGAAAACGTTTATCTAAGCCATGAACACGAGTTTAAAATGTATGGATTGGTTCGTGTCTGATCTATTCTGGACAAGTTAATTTTATCTAGATGAAAAGTTTCTATGGTTTTGATGGTATCGCTGAACATTGATCAACTGGAGTATTCCAGCTTTGCTCGGGTAGCATCTATGCTTCTCACGATGAAAGGTACCACAAGAAAAATAGCCAAATTCATAAACCAATTGTACACACTTAGATTTTTTTGCCGAGATGGGCACCACCGAGCAGCTCGGCATTTTATTTTGCTGGAAATTCAGCAAAAAATATGTTTGTTAGCTGAGATCTCGGCAAAATTCCCGTTTGTTAGCTGAATCTCGGCAAGTTTTTCACTGAGATCCAGCAAAATAAAATGCCGAGCTGCTCGGTGGTGCCCATCTCGGCGAAAAAATCTAAGTGTGTAATTTGTTGGTCCAGTTCCTATAAAATTGCACGCCAAAACTGTTTGACAATGTGTTCGGTTCCTAAATTTCGATAAACCAGTCGATCCTCAATAGCACAGTCCTCAAATGCCATTTAACATCAATTAAAATATGCCCTTTCTTCCCACACAGGCCGGCAAATTGCGCCACCTAGCACTAGGACACTGGCTACGGCAACGCTACTCGAGCCTCCTCGGTGCCACCTACGCGAACAACGAAATCTACGTCCGGTCCACTGACGTCGACCGAACGCTGATGAGTGCCGAATCGAACCTAGCTGGTCTGTATCCACCGGTCGGAACGGACCGTTGGGATCCGGACATCCAGTGGCAACCGATTCCAGTGCACACCGTGCCGGAATGCTTGGACGAAGTGCTGGCCGCTAAGAAATCCTGTCCTGCCTTTGACTATGCCCTGAAAAAGTACAAACAATCGGACGAATTTCAGGCGTACAACAAATCACTGGTACCACTGTACCAATACGTAAGTGCCCACGCAGGGCGAAGGATCGACTCGCTGACGTCGGCACAGAACATCTACAGCTGCCTGCACATCGAGGAATTGAACAACTTCACACTGCCAGAGTGGACCAAACAGGTGTACCCGGAACCTTTGCGATCCGTATCCGCTAGATCGTTTAGCACCAAAACGAACACTCCCATGCTAGCACGCCTCAAGACCGGTCCCCTAATCCAGGAAATGCTCCAGCGATTCAGCAAGAAAGCAGCCAACACCCTTAAACCCAACAGAACGGTTTGGATCTACAGTGCTCACGACACAACCGTAGCAAATGTCCTCAACAGCCTTCGCCTGTTCGACCTTCACAACCCGCCATTTTCGGCATGCATCATGCTGGAACTTCGCAAATCAACCTCTGGAGGCGAACCGTACGTTTCGGTGTACTACAAAAATACTACCGACGAACCGGAACCGATGACCATTCCGAACTGTGGCAAACGCTGTCCACTGAGTCAGATGTTCACCGTCTACAGTGCGATCCTGCCGGAAAACTGGAAGCGTGAGTGCCAGGTTTCGATCCTATCGTTGACCTACGTCGAGGCGGATATAAGCTCGTCGACCAGTGTGATCGGTATCGTGTTCCTGGCGATGGTCGGCGTGCTGGTGGTCGCCCTGACCATGGGTGCCTACCTCCGTCGACGTCGCAGCTATTACAACGATAAATGGTACCTGCGGATCGATGGATAATGGCACGGGAACGGAGTGGCGGCGGCGGTCGTTCTGGAGGAGGACGATACCTACGAGGAGGTGGACGTCTGACGTCAAGTGTTTGGAAATTTGCGCATTTATTCTTACAACAATTTGAGGAGATATCATGTGTTATGTGATTTTTCGGAGAGTATTTTAAGGTGTACGAAATTTTAACTGCTAGAGTGTTGTTTATGAAATTATCTGTGTAGAGGTGGGGAAGTGTTTATATTGTGGAAATCTGCTGCTGTGAGCTTACCAGTTCCAGGATTTGCAAATAAATGGTAATATTTAACGGAGACGGCTTGATGCAGCCTCCTTCCCGAAGAAATCCCTGTAGCACACGGCAAAGCACGTTGCTACTTCGCTGTAACTAAAGTCCATGGAAAGTAGTTTTGCTTCACTAGGTAATCACGGCATGACAATTTCCGTTCGTTGTGAGTTGTCGATGAAGGTTCTTCCTTAAAGATCAAACGATAATCAGTCAACCGTTTGCGTGGGAACACAATCAGGCGTTCGAACGTTTTCAGGTATAGCCGATCCAACCAAGGTTGCAAATGCCGATTGCGCATGAAAAAATGTTTTTCGGAAATTGAAATGAATAGATAGAGTGAAAATTGATAAAATCGCTAATTTAGACTCTCATCAGGCAGCGAAATCGACAGTTTTTATGTGTCAAAAGTCCAGTGCTGAGATTTGTCATTGTCATTGACAGACTTTTGCACGATATTGACAAAATTGTTTTTCACATAGTCAATGATAGACTTGATCCTCAAAAAAATCTTTGTCAAAATCTCATTCATTTTTTCGTCAATGACAAAGATTCACCTGGTAACAGAAAGTGTAATTTCTTGCATTCTGAGTCACATTATTGTTATCCAAGCAGTTCAGGACGTAGATGCTTATTCACTTTAATGGCTCCATATAATTGTATTGCTCTTGCCATTTAATTTCATTTCAAATTTAGCTAATAAACAAATCAGCACATGTTCGTCACTGACAAAAATGCTACTGACAATTGACATGGTTTGCCTTGACGATGACTGTTAGCTCAAACGAGTGACCAAAGCAGAATTTTGAGTATCACCGTGTATTGTCGAAATTTTGCGGCACTGGTCAAAACACATACTTTGCAGCCTCTTCTTGTATCTTACTGCATATGATCCAAACATCTAATGATTTCATAATTAAAAAAAAACAAAATTGAAATGAAACTTTGAAAGCTTGGATCTGTTTCTGTTCGATCGCCATACGTTTTCGTTTACTACAAGGTCAACAGCGCCAATCAGAATGGTCAAACTCTACCAAACTGTCATGCCCGAAAATAATTATTAAGTACGAGAATGCGAGTTTTCAGTCTTAGTTGGCTTTCTTTTGTGTTCTCATGAAAGTCGAAACCTCTTATTTACAGCGATAACATAATCAAATAAATTTGTACTGAGGTGATAATACATATAGAAAGTAATATTTAAAAAAAAAACAGATCTCGACTTACCCCGACTTGGGCTTTTAAAACTCCAACTTCTCCTTTTTGATGGGCGTCTTGCGAATGCCATGCTTTCCCTTCGCCGGGCAAATATCCGCATTGAGACAGTCGTTGCAGTGCGGATACGTGGCCGGACAGATGGTTTGTCCGAATCCCACCAACAGCTGGTTGACTTCCTCCCACTGTTCAAAGGGCAGCCACTTCTCCAGGGCAACGCGGGTATCCTCCGGTGTTTTGGTTTCCTTCGGAACCCATTGGAGCCAGTTGCAAATCCGATGCACGTGGGTGTCTACGCCAATACCAGTGACCACATTCCACGCAGAGCGCATACACAGGTGGGCCATCTTTTTGCCCACTCCGGGAAGCTTCAAGAGGCCCTCGATAGTTTCCGGGATATCGCCGCCGTAATCGGTGATCAGGATCTGCGATGCTTGTCGGATGAACTTGGCTTTGTTCTGTAGGAGAGGAAGAGACGGACAATTTATTCTCGTTTACGTTCAAAACGTATTGCTAACAAAAGATTTTTTTTGTCTAATAACGTTTATCCTGAAATTTATGAGCTTAGATTGGAATCGCCATGTTGTTCCCTTCTTTTTTTTCGATTGATGCTTTCCGAAATTTATCATCCATCCATATAAAAATTCATTAAAAATTATTTCGCGTTTCCTATCGCAAACGAGCTTGAAAACGAAATTATGGAATTATTTCGTTTTTCCTAAAAAAAACAAATGGGTTGCCAACACAAAGCTCATTTACCTTATCTGCGCAAAGGGAACAAGCTGCACTAAAACTCACCACATGGGCATCAACCAACTCTTTGAGTTGTCATGTCATCGCATTTTGTTTTGCTCTTCTCCTTTTCACCAAAAGCCGAACACATTTTGACGCAAAAACAAGCTAAATTTAAAAAATTTAGCAAAGGTGTAAATATCCACTTTCCCATCGCAATAAATTCACATTTCCGACAAACATGCAACTAACAATCAAAATTCTCAAAGGAGACGAGTATGTCGTTGAGGTAAGCATCCCTGAAGATATTTTAACCAGTTAGGAAAACCATTCAGCCCCCCCCCCCCCCCCCCTCACATACAGACGTCGGAAGAATCCACCATCCTGGCTATCAAGCAGGACCTCGAGCGGAAGAGCATGATCCCGGTGGAACACCAAAAGTTGCTCCTGGTGGGCAAAACCCTTTCCGATGAGAAAACCGTCGGCTCCTACGGAAACATCAAGGACGGAACCAAGCTGACTCTGGTCGTGAAGAAGCCCGATCCCCTGAGGGAGGTCATTTTCCGACAGTTCAAGAAATACCTCCAGGAAGAGCAATCCCAGCGTCTCACGAACGAATTCATGAAGGATTTCGACGGCAAAATACAGCAGCTCAGCTTGGACGATTTGGAAAAGATAGCAAGCGACATTCTCGCAAAGAAGGGTCAAAATGTGTGATACGGTCGATCCGCGGCTGCGGCTAGGTTGTTAAAATAAATGCTTACCTTGTAAAAGCTCACCGGATAAATAAGTTTCTCCAAGACAGCCGGCTCCGTAGCCACCACGTTCTCCGGCGTTAGTCCATGTTTCCGCAAACGTTGCATGCACTCAAAGTTGACCTGATCCTTGGTTTGACTGGATAACATCAGCGAAACCAACGTGTGGAACCGTCTGAGCTCGACGGGGACATTTACATCGTCTTTGAACTGATCGCATCCCATCGTGTCCACCGGAGCCGGCACCATCTGTCTCATTTGGCGGATGTTTTCCAACGTCAGGCGCCAATTCTTCGGTTCCCATTTTGATTGCTTAGCGTCTTCGTCTGCTGTGGGCTCTTCTTTAACCGGCGTTCGCTTCTGTGGAGACGGTGAAAGCGGTTCCCGTTTGACGGGGGTTCGTTCTCCAGGGAAATAGGGCGACCTGTTGGTTCCCGATCGATCCGGGCTGGTTTCAACTTTGATTGGCTGCTTCCGTTGGCGACGTTTGTTGTTCGTAATTTCCGTAATTGCCGGTTCCAGTTTAATTTGTGGAACGGTCAGTTCGACGAGCTTTGTGATGGCAGAAACAGTACCACTGCATGTGGCTTTATTATCAATTCCTGCAGATTCGGTGGACTTTTGCAGCAGAGTTGCTTTAAGGCCGGCGGGGTGCTGCTGTTTTTTGATGAAGTTGCGCGTTTTCTTCGGAGAGAAGTACGGGGATTTTGTTTCCTATTGGTTGTAGGATTTATATATTTTTTATTTAGTTTCGCTTAAACTTTATAGAACTTACCATTTTGCGAATTATGTCACGAAAAGTGTGATTATATTTAAACATGCACACTCCTAATAAGAAACACTTGCTAATCTTTGCATTCCAGTCGTATAGCTTCCAGATTCAGCACGGAATGCAAACAAAACTGAGGTTATGTTTATGTTTCTTTGTTTTGTACTCACAATATAGGGGAAGCTGTGGCGCATTATAAATCAGTTAGTCGAGCAGTTTTGGGATGACCTCCACAAGCCCTCTAGTAGAAGTAGTTAAAGCCCTACAGTAAAAGTATGGACGTCTGTCAAAAGTTGTTCCAATCGAACCGTCAAAATGCACCGCATTGCTCGATTGGAACAGCTTTTTTTCAGTTTTGTGGTGACAGTCGTCCATACTTTTACTGTAGGGCTTTAGAAGTAGTATCCCTAATAAAAATGTTATGGTTAATTTGCTTAACGACGTGTTCGGGGTATCATCCAAACCATTTGTGGAATAGTTCAATCATTTGGGTTATCGTTCGCTTATGGTATTTTTTTTATTAGGGATGGAATAGAGTCGTTGTATACCCGCATAGAAAAATACAATTTCTAGAACAGTTCAAACTTCACTGACACCTTACTAGCTATGTTAACTTTTCACAAAATAGTTATGTTATGGTTTATGGAATGTAATAAACATTAAAGAAACACTACTTTCAACTGTTACAGTTTCTGGTATGTTTCAGCTAAATTTTGTTACGGTTGATCAACTACACACTAAGATTTTTTTACAGTATACTGTAATTTTTTACCGAATATGGAACAGCTGAACATTCGGTAATCTATTCGGTATTTTTTGTTTTACAGTGCGTTCTGTAAATTTGACTTCGGTCATATGAGCTGTCAAAATTTGCTGAAACGCATTGCAAATTTAACTGAATGATTGGTAAAATGAACAAAAAAGCGTTCTGTCAGATTTTTACCGAAATTCAGTAAAAACTACCGATTGAATTGTAGCTGGTTTTTATCGATTTTCCTTTCTTTTCTTTTTCAAATTTGAGGTGAATAATAATATGGTTCATTTGAATTGTTTTTTTTTAACATTTATTAATCCATGATGATTTTAATCAGTTTTTAAACTTTATTAGTTTCAAAATTTCTTCATTGTTTCGATCAATTGATGCTTCTCATAAATTTCTCCCCCGTGGTAGTAAGGTTTCCTACGCCTTGAAAAATTACAGAGAGAAACAAGAAAAATTGCTTGTCTTCTGGCTTGCAGCTTATATTGAAAGCAGCGAAGCACTCACACAGCACTGGGAAACAATACTTGGCATCTTTCTTGATGGATGCAGACCATCCATTCCACGCAATTCATCCCTCCGAAGTATTAAATTTCCTTTTAGGTATAAAAGTGGGACTTCACCGTTTGGCACCGTGTTGAAATCATTCTGAAGATCCATCTACAAAGTACAATGAAAAAAAATGTTTTTTTTATTTTTACTTGCGGAAAAGATCTCTTGCTCCTCCATCAAGAGCTCCAATTTGTTTTAATATGTCTTCCATTTTTTAACACTTACTATAACCACAAACGAAGTGACAGACGGAGCGGCTCGAAAACTTTGGTGACTAACCTGCTATTGCAATTTTTCAGTGTACCACACGGCAACACCACTACTACTGACTGTACCACATGGCAACACTACTATTATACCCCGGACAGACTATGACTTATATCATGTAATATAGGCTGTCTTGCAATGAACACTCATATATCTAGTTTTCACTGGAAATCCAATGTATGAGTGCTCATTGCAAGACAGCCTATATTACATGATATAAGCCATAGTCTGTCCAGGGTATTAGATTGAACTAGCATTTTCACCAAATGTACTAGAATGTTTTGGTTCTATCTCATTCACTCTACTCAAAACTGAAATGCATAAAAAAATGACAAAATAATACGCACTCTTTGCACTCTGTCAAAGAATCATTGTACACAAAATCAACTTTGTTCAAATCAAAACAAAAAAACTAACCCATCTGGTGGATGATGGCACAAGCTTCCAAGAAAATTCTATTACAGTGAACCACATTATTTTAATGGATTTCTTCGCCAGTTAGTCGTCTGTAACTTCGTTTGTGCTATAACTGCGCACTTTAACTACGGAGAACTGCGCAATATTCAATTTTAAAATGGCGGAAAAATGTTGAGTTTGGCAGTATAGACAATTTACAAACCGTTCGGTACTTTGTACAGTCTGGTTTGTAAAAGACTTTTTTTTACAGTACATTCGTCAATTTTTGACAGTATTGCGGGATTTCAGGCATTTACAGTTTCGATCAGTAATGTTTATATACAGTTTTCGGTAATTTTCTGCAAATTACAGAAATGCAGTTTTTTTTATTGCTGGAAAGTGGTAAAACATCAAATTTTACCAAACATTCGGTAAAAATTACATTTTACAGACCAAATTCAGCAAAAAAAAGTACCGAACAAAATTTAAGAATTTTGGTGTGTATACTGAACTGTTACAAAACATTACGAATAAAAGTTGTAAACAACTTGTACAACGCTACGTGTTTCGATTATGGTTGCTTTATGTTTTTACAATTGGTACAAACAGAAGAAAACGCTTTTGATTGAAACGGTGCTCGTGAGTACATTGTGTTGTTTTGTTCGTTATTTTATTTTTAAAACCCTCGGTAATATTAGTTTAGAGTATAAAATATTTCTTAAAAGCGCATGCATTTTCTACACAAATATTCAGGGCTAACAGCGGTTTGCATGTGAAGGAGATTTCGATGCTGGTGGCTCACATCATCCAAAAAGGAAATCGAAGCAGGTTTGTTATGCCGGGGCCTTTTTATCTTCCAGAAATGGAATGGAGTTTGTTTTGCAGGGCAAATTCATTTATTTATTCATTTTATATTAAGATCAATAAACATGTTACCAAGAGCAAGGGAGGTGTCCACAAAAAGAAATCTTGTAAATCACATTAAAATTAAAGAACAACCCATGACGGCTGTATTCCGGATAAGCTACGACAGTATTTATTATAACGTTAATAAGTATGGTAATTTATACCATTTCATAGTATATCATGAAGTTAACAACAATGGTTGGTTCTAAACCGTACTACCTTATTCGAAAATTAATGGAAATAGTTTCACATATCCAACTAGAACCTTTTCTGATGTGGTAAGGCTATAGTTGTTTTGCTAAAAATGTATGGGAAAAAGCGAGATTCCGTATGGTGAACGTTCTTAACCACCCATTGTTCATATGGTTGGGTCTTCGAAAACCTTAATCAATATGGTCAAAACTTTATCTAGGTATGGTTTGATTAAAGTTGACTGAACCTTTCTCATTATGGTTTTCAGAGGAAGATAAACCATTTTTAATGTGGTAATCGTATGGTTGTGATTTATGCGGGTAATGAGTCACGCCAAGAGAAAAACAGTTGAACTCGCATCACGGTTTTCGAAAGATTCCCATTCTTTTCACTTGGCAACAGAAGACTTCTACAACAACTTCAAATGACTTCTAGCGAGAGAAAATATACTGCGGCTGTAGTAAATCATAATATCAGTGATTTTGTCAAATTATCTTAACAAAAAAGAGTAGAAATTCTCATTACTAATCATTACCGAGCGTATCCCATGACAATTTAACGCTCACTGCGTGTTTATGCTCATTTCTTCGATTATATTTTATATTTTATTGCAATACCTTTCGTGAACCTTTCATAGCATCGTAATGTTTATTTACTTTGCACGATAGGTAGCCGTTTTGACAGTTCAATAGGTAGACGTGGCTTCACTCTTGGCGTGACTCATTATACACCGACTCTAGTATGGAAGATGTCCCTATACACTAATAAAAATTCAATTATTATTTTTATGTGTCCCACACATGAATTTTTGCAATCTGATAATCTAATGATATATATGTGTCGGACACATAGTTCTTATGTGTACACATAAAATTCAAATGTGGATTCTGTTTATGTTTGGACACATGAAAGTCATGTGGAATTTTGCATGGAAATTCACCAATAAAAATGTGTCGAATTTTATGAGTGTATAATATTATTAAAGCGTACACAGCAAAAAATTAATTTTGATATCACATCAAAGTGGATGCACTTCAATTCAATCGAGTCAAAAATATGGTGTAATACGTGTAATATTACTTGCCAAAAAGGACAAAATTATCATTAATACAGTGCATGAACTGACATTACGCTGCTTTTACAGCATTTGTTTATTTCGATGGCCAAAAAAATACATGAGATTTTCGACATGATTGAAGTGCATCCTCTTGAATGTAATATTAAAATTTATTTTTTGCTGTGTACACAGAAAAAAAAGTTGTTGAATATTACATCCAAACAGCTGCACAGAGCCCTAATAAACAGGTACCATACACTAACGATATCATAGATGGTACAACCATGCCACATAAAGTTTAGATTATACCCCGAAGTGGTGGTTAGGCGCTTTTTATGGTTATTGTTTATGCGGGAGGTCATTCCGCCGGTTGTGTAATATTACTTTGTACGATGTACATCGATTTTGCGAACAAAATTACACCTATTGATGTAATATTGTATCTGCTTTTTGCTATTACATCATTATTTCATACATCAGCTTGAATTACGTTGATCGATATTACATTATTTTTTTGCTGTGTACCCATCCAAAAAAAATGTAATATCGATCAACGTAATTCAAGCTGATGTATGAAATAATGATGTAATAGCAGAAATCAGATACAATATTACATCAACAGATATTTTACAAAACTGGACCAACAAATCGGCATCAACATTTAAAAAGGGCGAAACTAACAATGATGTCAAGTTGTAAAAAAGACTGTCAAAGTTTTCGAAGCGAAAAAATGGATTTATTTTAAAATCAGTAAGCAGTGCAGGTCTATTATTTGCACCGTTCAGCTTGAGTTGAACCTAGTTAATCAGTGCATGGAAGTTTAGATTTTTATTTTGTGTTTTTAATGTTGAAAATCCTCAAAATTAGATTTTGCCCTTTATATTCATCAATTTTGATTACGCCTTTTGTTTTTTGTACCTTTTGTTTGACTAATTGTCAATTTGGCCCCACTGACAGCGTTTTTTTTATTTT